TTGAAAGATGCAGTTTAAACTATTCTTATGAAAGATGCAGTTTAAACTATTCTTAATGAAATGTCAATGTTAGGCTCCTAACATGCTCCGTTCATAGCACATAAGTCTAGTAGTTTGGTTCTGAATCGCTCTTTTTTATAACGTTGTTTTATTCGCTCCATTCACAGTTCAGGAAGAGCTTTTGCTTTTTAGGTCTTTCCAGACACTCCTTTAACGATCTGCCTTGACATTTTGCTAAATAAGGGCGTTTCTGGTGTACCAGTCGTGGAGCGAGACACCTTCAAGTTAGTTTTCTTAATGTATCATTCAATTTCTGGAGGCAGTTTTATCTGATTTCACTGCTTTACAATATACGTGCGTAATTTTGAAGGGTTATCGACATGTATTCACGATTTGATGCAGTTGGAATCGCATTGGAGGAAAGCGCTGATAGTCTGGATGTTAGCGTTGAGCAAGCTCTCAAGTTTAAAAACTTGGGCAGGGTACTGCTTGCATTACTTTGCTGTTTACGCTGTATAGTTTTCGAGGGATTTTTATTTACAGAATGATCAAGATCGTGTTGTGTCTGTAAGGGATACCGATACCTTGTGGAAAGCTATAACCGTCCTTGTGGAGCGAAACGTTCATCGCTTATGTGCGGTCAATGAAAAAGGCGCCATAGAGGCTAGTGACATCTTTTTTCGTTTTGCTATTGCAGATTTCCTTATTTCTAACATTGTGTTCTTTCCAAAATTCATATACAAAGATGGAGGTGATGAAGCTTTTCGTAACGTTTTAGGGTGATATCCGATTAAGTACGTTCATCGGCAAAAATCTCTTTTCTTCGGAGATTGTATTCAATACTTCATGTCTCACATTCTAAAACTGCTAAGCCTTCCGAGTTCTTCTATCAGGCTCCTCCATTCCTTCCCGTAGATCGGCCTTCTTCAGCGCTATCCATTCTTTCAGTAGCTTTTGTTGCTTAATTTTTCTTAACCCTATTCTTTGATCTGTGCTTCTATACACATATATGTAGTACCGGATTTGTAAACTGATGTATTGCAGCAAAGTTATCTTTTTCCTTTTCCAGGGTATAATTTCGCTTTCTGATGTGATCAATCATATGGTGGTCAAACCTGGTGCAAACTTGAAACCAATCCGGGTTCCACGCCGTCATTACACGTCCCATCCATATGACTGCAGCGACGTGGTATGTTTTGTTACTAATAGCAGTTATCTCGTTATTGCTTTGCTTTTATTTTGATTACTATGATATTTTTTATAGTTCTTCTGTTCATTTGCTCGCTATGATTCACAGATAAGCTTTACTTTTGCTCCTCTTGGCTCATAAGAAGCAAACGTTTGGTATTGTCTAACACGTTGGCTTGCTGGCCCTCAGAGGTATTTGAGCTCTGCGTATCCACGCTCTTTGGCGCAAAGATGCCTGGCGCATGCGCTACGGGCGCTATGGGAACTCGTGTAGGTAGTGCCCAAACGGATACGAGTCGGTGGCAAATTCATTACAAAGGTAGATATGGGACCGTATGCCATCCTTCCCCAAGGGCGACGCGTTCTCCGTCGCTGATCCTATCCTATGCCTCTGGGAGACAGAGTTACGTCATAGGACCAGATATACTCTGCGTCTTTAGACTCCGGACAGGCGACTTCAAGAGAAAATACTGCCTCAACAGGGGATGGTAGATACAACATCACATTCAATGGCGGGTCTCCTTTCCAGCTTCCCCCTGGGAAAGGATAGGGTACCGCCTAAGCAACTGCTCTGAAGTGACATCTCACCAATCTGGCCGAAATTAGCCAAACAGCAAAGTACACAAGAAACTGGCTTAACATCTGCAAGCTCATGAGGCCCCGCCGCTACCAGCTGCGCTGCTGCTCACGAATCATTGACTCGTCATCGGGCTTCCTGGCGCTACAGTGCGGGTAAAAGCCTCCATAGCTCCGTTCAGAGCGGCCAAGCAGATTCAAGGCTGCATTAGAGATCAGCATAATAGGATGCATAAGGAAATATACACAACGTCCTAAGTGGGCATGGTGAACTTGTATCCATTTTGTAAGGACGTTCTACTTAGAGAACGTAATATCTAGTGTTAAGAGATTGCGACCTTCAAATAAAACTCATGTCATATCTGTCATATCTCTCTCATACATTAAAGGCATGCTCCAGTATCAAACTGGTGTGGTTGAGAATGGGCCAGCAGTAAAGAAAAAAGAATAGATTCTGTCGAAAACGCTGAGGTTAAGGTTCACTCACCTTGAGAAAGTGGCTGTGCTAAGGAATGAGAGACTAAGCGCGGAGAGGAGAGTATGACGCGAGAGGCGCGATAGGAGGATACTAGACCGTCAGAAACATTGCAGCTGCTTCCGTTGCATGGTCCTTGTGTCCTTGTCAGGTGGTTTCCATGCACCGAAGTTACACATCAGTGAATGTCCCCTGAGGTCTACCCTACCCGAAGGGAATCGTGCACATGACTGTTACCTTGGTTGTGCCTTTGAGTATAAGTTTAATACGCGAGGAGCAGGCTTACTTGATAAAAACAACAATGACACAGTATATATACGCAAGCTTCATCTGTGCAGGAGAGATCCATCTTCTTTATAACTATTTTCAGGATTTACGTAATCGCCTACAGGACAGTGCTACTCTTCTTGAAGATACGGCCACTGGAAAGCTTCGGAAGGACATTAGTAACCTCAGTCTTCGTTGAAACTTACCTCTGCTAGTAGGCATTGATTGCATAATGTGCAGTTTTCCTACGTGTATCTGATTCGTAACATGGATCAAAGGTATCTGGTGAGACCAAAAAAATCCGTGCCTTTTTCCGTACATCTTCATTCTATAGGATCTTATGCTGCTCTCATTTCATAGAAATATTGATCCATCGTCCTCTAAGATGAAAACGCTTGTAACGTCCCTTAACCTTCTCGTGGATTCGAGTACTCTGTGGTTCTATATAGTATGATGTGATATTATTATAGTTTACTAATTATTCGCTATTTTGGAGTGCTTTCTGTTGTTATTATTAGTTGAAATCCGTTAGAGAGAGAGTAATGCTCAAAGTCAATGGAATGCAGTATCTCGAATACAGAACCAGAGGAAATCCCAGGCGTAACTCCTGCATGAATTTGTATGTGATCATAATTTCACAATAACCGTCACCACGATAGGATTGAATGAGAATAACTGACATGAGAAGTGATGTTTTACGAAATGAAGATTCTCTATTCGAGTTCTAATAAGGAGCAAACATAAAACTATCGGCAGTTTACGAAATGCGGTGAAGATCCGCTTAAATTTTGACAGCTTGCTGCCGAGCATCAGGCGAAGTGCAATTAGTGGGATCCTTTGTGTGTGAAAACTACTCGGGTAACACCGAGCTATGTCTGCTTAATACTTTATGCTATATAGGATCTTCCCTTACATTCATGCTAGTCTTTAAGGTTCCTTATCGACCAACTGCTCTCGCTCTACAGTGCGATGAGATGACACTAGGACTAAGCCCGGATTGGGGAGAGAGGAACTTGAGGCTAGGGAGGCCTTAGGGAGAAGGGACTTTGGAGGAGAATGCGACAGGGAGAACAAAAACTGCTCGCATTCTCCTCGTTCCCCCAAGGCTCAGCCCAAATCTCTCCCACCCCCCCCCCCTGACGACCGGAGCGCCTCATTGTGTATGACTTCAAAGGAGGTCTAATGTTTCATTTTTGGAGCTTTCTGAGGGGAATACAGCTGGGAGGAGACGGGAGTGAAGGAATCGTTGATTGGAGAGAGACTAAAAGAATTTACCGTTATCTCACTCCTCGGCGATGGCAGTGTTGCAGGAACTTTGGGGAGGCGGAGTTGGGGTGAGTCAATTAGTATTGGAATCACGCCAGTATTATTAATACAAACAGTCATGGTGATGGAGGTGGCGGAGTTGTAGGGAAGGGATTCAGGGCTGCGAAGGGGTTGGTGTATTCCTCAAATTTTACCGCTGTTTCAGTTGAACCTGTTCCGTCCATCTTTCAAATTATCTTATGGAAGTTGCAAGCTTATGAGGAGTTGTTACTGTCAGTTCTAGCATCCTCCCTCCTTAGTAGCGTTTTAGCTAGAATACAACGAGGTAAAACAAACGAACGAGACGTGAAGGCGTATATATGAAAGCTCTTTATAAAGCCGAAACAAAAATGCAGACACAATAAAGCTCAGCTGAAGATCTTGGGGAAACCCGTGGAGAACGAGCAGCAAATGGTTACTGAATGAGGAAAATAAATATTTACATCACCAGCATGACAGAATGGGTCACACTGAACGCGCTGGCGAGACTTTTCGTTTATTTGCAGTTTTGGGCTTGATTTTTACTTTTTAGAAGGCAAGGCGAGTACATCAGTGAATCAAGTGGACGGTGCTGATAGTCTCGCTCACACGTACAGTGCGAACATGTTCTTAGAAGCAGCGATCACAATGGCTGCAGGGTGCTGGAGTTTGATGGCGTCATTGAACGTCATTGGTGGAAGGGCGTTAGGGGGCGGAATCTTCCACTGACGTTCTCTGACGTCGTGAAAACCGCACCGCCCTCCTGCCATCGTGATCACTGTTGCTCTTTAACATGTGATATAATTTACAAATCATGCCCTAGCATTGCAAAAATGAATGATGGTTATATGAAATGGGATATGTTTGTGGATCACCAATATTCTAAACATTCGTCGTGTTGAAATTGAAACACACTCGTATACAATGTGGAAAATGAGAAAGTTAAAAGAGATTATAGTAATATTAACATTTTTAATATTGATAAAGTGAACAAGAGAATCGATGTGAAACTTGTCAATGGTAAAGTGAGGAGAAGGCTACGATCAAAGCCGGATGAAAACGTACACAATGAACAAGCAGACGCCCTGGTAGGGTGATAATCCACTAAATTACTTAAGGAAAAAGCCCAAGCGCGAAATGAGCTTAGGGTGAAATAATTCGTAGTGCAGACGATTCTACGCCATAGTTTTTCTGACGATTCCAAAAGTTTCGAAAGAAATGCCGTCGAATATTATGGATGTTGAATTTGCGAGTTCAAAAAATCAAGGAACTTTTCACATTCGACTTATTTTACTGATAAGCCCTGAAAAATTCAAGTGTGTCGTTTTCTCAGCTCCAAAGATATGAAGGAACATGACGGCCGATAGACGAAGCATGTTCGAAGATGTCACTGGTGAAAAGGTGTCGGCAGGCGATCCGACCATACCGCCAGCGCGCTGGGGGCGTGGCCGAACGTATGACGCCTCCGAGCTGACTCCGCCTCCCAGGTGTCGCGTTCGGTGCTTTTAAGTTGGTTCGTGTTCATCCGAAAAAATGAGGAATCGCTAAAAGCGCTCGCTCCCTCCCTGTTTAATTTGTGTGTGATGCTTCAGGGCGCATATATGTACCTGTTTTGACGATTTAACATCTCTATGAAAATAACTTAGTATATAGTCACATGAGAAGTAACCGGTAACTGGTGAGGTGAGCTACCTGAACTTAGTCATAGCACGTCGTGAATACTATAATATTTGGCATTGCAAGAGCTTCGCATTCCATGAAATGTCTCCTTTTCACATTCCCATCAGGTCTCGTCATCGTTGGAGATACATCGAGAGATATGTTGGCGACCATTGTTCACAACAACTGTATTACGAGATGTACCATTCGTTTCATAAATGCTCGTGCTCAGATAGAAGGCGTTGCACATGAACTGCGAGAAGTACATGATTTGGCAAATAGCTGAAAACAGATTAGTTTTACCAGTTAAGCAAACGATCTTAACAAAGTACAAGGTGGAGAGGGGGGGGGGGTGAAGAAAAAGAAGACATTTTGAGCATGCTGCGTTTAAAATAGTTGCTTACGGCCCTCGACGTCTTCAGGACGTCTTGAACCCAAAGGACACATTGCTGAATTGATTGACTGACATTGTATATCAAACAAATGTGTAGTCCTTCGCAGATGCCTATGCACGGCGCATCCCCAAAAAAGTGCTCAACGCGGCCTGCCCCTGATGAAGTCGAGCCATTGACACCTCTGCATGAATATGTATTTATTTTTTTATTTACTACACTATGCACATGTTCTCTTATTTATAAACAGTATGGACTGTATGAAAGATATCAAAAGAAGGAGTTTTGAAGCATCCACCGGGGATCAAAGAATACAAAATTTAAAGTGGAGGTTATGATTTGGTAAGTTGGTTTCCAAAATCGATAAATTTAAGCTATTCAAAAAA